GGGGGGGTGCGGTAGTGTTAGTCATGAGTCAGCTACGTTACCTGACAATGGAAGTTATTCGGTAGATCACTCCTGTTCGGTGTGTATTGCCACATTAATGCCATAAGAATTGTTTTCATAAAAAATGACCGCCAAAATATCCCCCAAGTAAAATGTAATGTGTCTGAAAATCGAAAATAACCCAAAACAAAAATAACCACGTTTACGGCATTAATTAATAGTAAGAAATATTAATTTTGAATGTCCTTTCGTAGTAGAAATTATTTGAAATGACTACATTTTTAACCCTCTCCGTTTCTAGTGTTGCCAAAAAGGACAAATATCCAGCTATCATCGCTTTGTATGGATATCCTATATTTACTGTACACATCACTGTCTTTCAATTTTTATATATTCTTTATATACTTTCTTAAAGTAAAAGTGTCGTGAGTAAGAAACCTGATATGTACTGCTTGTGTAAAATTAATTAAGAGTGTATAAATATCTTGCAGTAATTGCTATCATAACTGATATTTTTTCTACCGTGTTTTTTAACAGGTAACAGTCATATGAGTTACAAACCTGAACGTTCCTGATAGCCTACCATCAATGTGGAGCTAAGTCTCCACAGACATGTGAGGACACATACTGACAGTAGTGGATGCCACATCTTCACTCCTCGTCACCGTGCTGGTACTAGGTGTGAGTGTTTACAGGAAACAGACTACTTATATCGGCCACACGTCGGGTTCACGGTATGTAGAACCTTCATATGGAAACGAATTGCCTCGTGATTCAATCATAATTAACACATTTGTCAACTTTTACTTTATGATATTCACGTGATGTTAGGTGTATCCTCTTATTGGTTTCAACATCGTATAGGCATGACCAGGCGTATATATTAATGTTGCCCACGTTTCTGTTTTAATGAGCACTATAAGTTAAATATATAAGTTTAAGTGAACTAGCCTTGTTATGTTTTCTATGGCAATAAATTTGGTCAATTATTTTAAGAACACTAAAACTAGTACACGAGACTAGGTATGTTTTTGATCATTTAAATTGGTATAGGTTGGAGTAAACTTAAACTAGTTATAGGTTTGAGTACAGAAACATTAGGTCTGATAACACCTAAACTAGGTAAATGTTTAAGTACACGAAAACTAAGTATATGTTTCAGAACAATTGAATTAGGCTTTAAAACTAGGTATTGGTTTGAGTTCACTAAAACTAGGCATTGGCCTGAGTTCACTAAAACTAACTATTGGTCTGAGTTCACTACAACTATGTTTTTGTCCGAGTTCAATTAAACTAGGTATTGGTCTGATAACTAGGTTCCGGTTTGAGTAAAACGGAAACTAAGTAAATGCTTCAGAACACATAAGGATGTTTTCTACTTTGATTAAGATAACGTTCAAATCTCGTTTTAAATTAGATAATAGGTTTGTATAATATTTAAGGATGAACACCTCTGAGAAGTCAAACATTTCCTGTATTAACCTTTTTTTCTTATATTGATTTTTGGAAAAAGGAGATAATGGCATAGTAGAAAATGCAAAAACATATATATGTCCGTGTGTTCGTTTTTGTGCTATGATCGGTCAAAGATACCAATTTAACACAATAGGTGATTTTAGGTGAATTTTCGGGTTTTGACCATTTGCAGAACAAATTCATACAATTTCTTCCAAGTGTGTTATCAGATAAGTATGAATGTTTGTAGAATTGATAAAAATATTATTTTCTTTTAAATTATGGAAGTAAAATTTCTTAATTTTATTCATTTTACTCAGAAATGCGGGTTTAGTTACCCCTACCCCCTTTTTTAATGAAAAAATGCATTTTTTTTCACCATTTTTTGCAGATTAAACGCTTGATATAAAAAAAATCCTGTATTAAACTTTTTTTATTATTCAATGAATCAAAAGAAAATGTGTTTCTCTTTCTAAATAGCACCAAAAATGGGGGGTCGGTGTGCTTCTTTATTTGTCCCATTATTATTTGTGTTATTTTTCACCTTTTTCGGGGTCAAAAAATCAAAAGTGCTTCAGTTACCCTAATATGTAAAAAAAAATCCAATAATATATAACTTTCCTCTTTTTTGCATATTATTTTAATCATATTGAACATTATAAAGTTGTACAGCAAAATTGAACCTGCTACATTTAAAAATGGTGACACAATGACAATTTAAGTGATCAATCTAGTGTAAAAAAGGGTGAAATTTTGCCCTTTGTAAAGCGCCAGAAATTCACATTAATACACTTTTTCAAAATGGCCGCCAAAATTGGTCATTGTTTTCAAATTCTTGTAAAAAAGGTTCTACACACAACAGACATCTAGTTTTTTGACATGTTTTTCAGATGTGTGTTTGCTATTAAACCTATCATAATTTGTTAAATATTACAAAAACCCGTTACACCAGATCAAAACGAGACTTGTACGTGACTGAAACCTCAAAAGAGTACATCCTTAACAAATTATTATCAATAACATGCAAACATGCAAATGAAAAAAATGTGTAAAAAAGACGACTCTGCTGTTTGAGGTACCAATTTAGCAGCTTTTTGACATAACATTTATTTTTAATAGGGTCATGGTATCGCCATTTTAGCTAAAGAGTGTTTATTTGTTCGCTGTGCAAGTGTTTATTGTTAAATATTGTGAAAATAATATGCAACGGAAAATTATAAAATATTGATATTTCATAACATATTTATTTTACCTGAAGTTTATCATACAAAAGGAGTAAAATAACACACACAAATGACATGGCGAGAACAGAAGCACCCTGTGGACGAGCATAGTACAAACACGGGCATTTTGATTAAGCCATAAACTCCTTTTTCCAAAAATGCTTAAAATAAAAAGTTTTTATGAAGGAATTTTTAACTTCTTGGAGGAGTACTTCCTTAAATGGTCTATAGGTTTGTACACAAAATCAAGGTTTTGGTTTGAGTACGCTAAATCTTATAAATTTGAGTTAACAAAAAGTAGGTTTAGGATTGAGTATACTAAAATTAGGTATATATTTGAGCTTACCAAAACCAGGTATATATTTGAGCTTACCAAAACCAGCTATATATTTGAGCTAACCAAAACCAGGTATGTCTGAAATATTCCCCCGGAATGTTGGTTACCGCAGCACTCACCTCCTATCAAAAATGTGTGTCGTATGATCGTCCTACTGACCTATTACGTAGAACAATGGTATTCCTATTGTAATAAGTTTTGTCCTAGTTCATGGTCATATCGTAGTGTATAATGGATGAAAATTGAAGGCAAAAACTATAATACTTATGCAAAAGGTAAGTGTTTTATAGTGCGACAGTCACGACGACCATGTGATAAACAAAATGATGCATGAGCTAAGTTTGATTGTATTTGCATAAACATGATCTGTTTTTATTTTGTCCTTTGCGATTGAAAATGTTTGTATAGAAGCATTGAAAGACAAGTGTAATGACATACAGTTCAAGCGTATCGAGGCCTCGACGTTGTGACCACAGTTTGGCAGGCGCATGTTTGAATGCCTATAGCGGATCAAAGACAGTGTGTATTTTATATGATTTTCATAAATAATTTCACGAGACATAGCACTTACCTTCATTAATCGACAACAATGACGTGACCTTACGTAAAAAGTGTGCAAACACAGACTAGTAAAGCAACAGGCCTAGCAAGAGTAAAGTAATCAATAGACTAAGTTGGGTAATCAGTAGACTATATTGGGTAAATAGACATTCGTTACTCTTCACCAAAACGCAGACTTCGCAGTATAATGAGGAATGTTGCAAATTAACAAGTTCCCAAGCCCTTAAAGGACAAGCAGTCAGTCATTAGGGTTCGGCGATTCCTCTGACTCAAAATATTTTCTAGATGCAAATAAATAACACTTTGCGTTGTCAATTATATGGGGGAAAATATTCAAGCATATTTGTAAGACGACTGTTCACCAAACATAACCATTTCCTTCATTTATAAACAAAAAGATTGTTAACTAATAACTATCCAGCTAATGAAGTCATTGAACTTATTACATTCCGCAGTGGGTAGGTCTACTTTGATGAAAAAATGGATATATGCAAACTTGAAATTGTTTATAAACTGTTTGACAATAAGATTAAAATATTGCTTGGGGAAGACTCACCTTTTGAATAATGTTTTGCCTTTGACTGAGAAAAGCATTAAACATGATTTCATTATTCCTATTTGTGATTTTAGACTAACGATAGTTGCTATATCCATTTCAGAAAATGTTCCAGTTGCTTGCATCGCACGGATGGCCATCCACAAAGTAAATATACCTGTTTACATGCTTTGCCTTGGGATCAATGGCTCCGCTAATCTAAAGTCAGTGTTGATTTGTAAATGAACAAAGATACAAGGCATAAATCCACCGATACTAGTTTAAAAAGTAGTTAATCGCCATATCTACTGGTATGGTGGGGATAAATTTGGAATAACCATTCAGAGCCGAAGATTACTATCTTTGAATTTGAAGTCACCAAACTTTTAATTTTCGACGCGTTGTCAGGTGATCAGAAAGATCTAAGAAAGCAGTGTGCTCTGCTCTATGGAGTTGGCAGCTTAAGCTATTAGGTTTCTGTTTAGGTTGCTGATCTGACGTCAACATTAAAAACAGGCCTCCTCCTTGGCAAGTAGCTCTTCGTCTTGCCAGTTCATCTGGCAGCCATTGATCTAGGTGTTTTCAATTACAAGGAGGCGTGTGGTAGCACCATTCCAAAAATACACTGCACCATAAAGATATTTCGTTCTTCTATGACTCATCGCAGATGCTAGAGGACAAAATGTTGGAAATCTAATTTGTTCAAAAGCTGACTTAATAAGCACAAAACACAGTAAAAGAGATAAGCATTGCTGGTCTACAAAACAAACTCATTTATCATAGACCATTTGGTTCATAATTAATGTAATTTTTAACTTGTTTCACCTCAAGGTCGTTTATTCGAGACATTTTTATATATTGTCAGCTAAGATTTCGGGCCCACCTGAAAAGTAACATTTGGATAGCATCATTGAGAGACCTTTTTGGTAAGTCTCAGAGATAAATCCCCGAGGTGGAATTTATATTGTTTATACAGAACTACATAGCCGCATACTACCCAGAAACAGCAACTCTCCGTTGGGCTATCGCACCAAATCAACCCTACCACGTTTACTCTAATACGGACAGACAGAACCCGAAAAAAATATTGAAAAACTTGATTATAGCCACCATGTCAGCCATCTTGGATTTCGCACCGAATTGAAAGAAAATTTGAGCAATATCACCCTGATACCTAATTTGTAGTACGTCTGGTGAGTTCCTGATGCAGAATTTGAGAAGTTTGAAATGTGAATAGGTAACAGAAGGGTTATGCACAGGAAATTTCCAGCTCGCTGACGTTTCCGCCATTATGATTTTGTTTTAAAGAATGCCACCATGTTGACCATCTTGGACTTTTGACTGACCAGAAAAATAGCAGTATATGGTTCCAGGGAGCCTTTAAAAACGTGTTGTTATAGTCTCCATTTCAAATTTCAAATAAAAACAGGAGGCTCAGAGGGCCTGTATCGGTCACCTGTTTCTTTTGTTACATGAAACTGGCATATAGGTAACTTCAGTCCAAAGAGCTATGGCGGAAATCTGCCCATATTTCCTAGGTCGGCATTTATGAAAACGGAAAAAAACATTAATGAATAAATAACATCTAGTAGCGAAAATGCATAGAATAGATATAAAACCAATAACATATGAATTTTTGAATTGCTGAGATATTAGGTATTGTTAATATGATACTGCAAATATAGCCATATTCACTATATCTATGAAAGTGATGGGGTTTCCTAGACTTAAACAAATTCTTTCAACACTTTCCCATCCGAGGACCGACTTTTGAATAAACTTTTTTATTCCGTGATGTAATATACAAAAACAAATCGTATTCCGGGAAAATGGTCCTCCTTTGAGAAAGTGCTCAAAATAATGAAAAACAGCGGTGAGCGAGTGTCTTAAACTGCGACAGGTGTTTCTTGGGTTAAATCAGTTTGTATTCCCATTCTTGTCTATGTCCGATGTAGCCGAATGTGTAACGCAGTTGACTTGTGACCAGACCAAATGAACAGCACGTGTTCGAATCCACGTTTAGGTCCTTTTTTTAATACTTAGGCATGTGATCTTTTTCCTTAAATAAGTTATACAATATTTTTCAAATCAATGGAACATTTTATTTGATTTTAATAATATACCTATTGATTTATCTTCTATGCAATCATGTCAACAACTTATTGTTCACGTGTACAGTACATTACCGAAAATACGGGAAAATTCATCGTTGAGGACAGTCTCATTTGTTTGAAATGCAGGAAGACTGTATCACAAATTGAATATAAGGATCGCAATACACATGTGAGAAATGCTATTCAAAAATTATATATATCATTTTTGCCATTCATATGTGCAGAAAAAACAAAATCAAGATGTGTATTTTGTAAGAAAGCATGTAACGGCATGATGCAGGCAGTAGTAATGGAAATTAAATCCTTTCAAAAACTTGATTGTACGATTTTGTGTTACATACAGCATATTTTTAGCCCACCATCATCTGATGGTGGGCTATTCAAATCACCCTGCGTCCGTGGTCCGTGGTCCGTCCTTAAACAATTCTTGTTATCGCTATTTCTCAAGAAATACCAGAGGGATCTTTCTCAAAATTTATATGTAGGTTCCCTTTGGTCCTAAGCTGTGCAGGGCAACTTTTGAGACTGATCGGATAAACAACATGGCCGACAGGCAGCCATCTTGGATTTTGATAGTGAAAGTTTGTTATCGCTATTTCTCAAGAAGTACCAGAGGGATCTTTCTCAAATTTTATATGTAGGTTCCCCTTGGTCCTAAGCTGTGCAGGGCAACTTTTGAGTCTGATCGGATAAACAACATGGCCGACAGGCAGCCATCTTGGATTTTGATAGTGAAAGTTTGTTATCGCTATTTCTCAAGAAGTACCAGTGGGATCTTTCCCAAACTTTATATGTAGGTTCCCCTTGGTCCTAAGCTATGCAGGGCAACTTTTGAGACTGATCGGATAAACAACATGGCCGACAGGCAGCAATCTTGGATTTTGATAGTGTAGGTTTGTTACCGCTATTTCTCAAGAAGAAATAGAGGGATCTTTCTTAAATTTTGTATGTAGGTTCCCCTTGGTCTCTCGTTGTACATGTTATATTTTAAGACTGATCATAAAAACAAAATGGATTAAAGAAGAACTAAACAGATCTTTCTGCAATGATCGATTCTTTCACATTAAGTACTGTACTAGTAAATATGTGAAATGACAAACTCACTTTGAAGGTTGGCTTTCATACACATCAGTATTATGTTTAGATCAAAAGTTACCTCAATGTGCATTTACTGTTAACATGACTCGATCAAACAGATCAGAGGAAAGAAGAGAAAAGATCGAACTGACAAAGAACTAATGAAGATGGTACAAAGGTGGGCGCCAAGATCCCTCTGGGATCTCTTGTTTGTTTTAAATTCATAAAAAATAATGCGAAATAAGCATTTTGTTGAGTCTTTATCGTGAAACACATGTATCAATAGCCATGGCCTAGGTCATCAAGTTCTTCTTCAGAAGTCGTTCAAAGGAAAAAGTTGACAGACGGACGACGGACGCAGCAAGCTGTAGAGTGTGTTTTTGAAGTTGGCCGCCGTGTCAGCTATCGTGATTTTGGACCGACTAAAAAATTACATTTGGTCTGAATCATCTCAGGGTTCCTTCCAGCAAAATAGGAAATCATGTCGACAGTTTACGCTTGTTGGAATGTTACGACGCTGGACGGTTCATGATGTATGTAGGTCATCATAACGGCAGAAAAAAAAGTTTTTGTATTTTTAAGTGGATTAATTTCTTGTTACAGTTAGTTTATGTGATATCATAACATCACGAGTTATTTTATCATCAATAGGATAAATAAATCATATGGTAAGTTTTACTTATACCAATTTAGTATTCAAACCACTTATAAATATTCAAATAACATGTCTCATAAATCGAAATGTCTTATTTTTATGACGAGCTAGACATTTTCTTCTTTCGTTCTAATATGCGTGTCAAATAAAACTGTATTACACATATAATCTGTTATGCAACTTTATTCGTTTACAATCCTAGTGTAACAATTGTAGCTTTTAGCGCCATTGTCACATTTTTGGCTCCTAAAACAGCGCTCCATCTAGTACAGTTGCTTTATTTGGTCGATCACCTCTGGGAAATACTGTGACTTTTAAACGTTTTATGATATCTGGTGATGAAAGTTTTTCGAACTGAAGCTCACCATCCACTATTGAGGCATCCAAGGTTTTGTTGTTTTCATACTTGAAATAATCTTCAATATTAGTCATTTTTTTCTGGCATGCAATGCTTATCTGAATGCCAAAAGTTATTTTCATATTCTGAAGGAGAACCTTTTAAAGCCGTTTTCTTAACTTCAATTCTACAGGTTACTTCAGTTTATTCTTTTTGAGTGGAAAGATGAGCGAATGTTGTGATCAACCATGTGCTCTTTCACCAACGTTTTAAACTATTGTTTACAAGACTTTCTTCCACATGTGGAGTGGCCATCTTTGGGTTATCTCCTTTAAGACCAGTAGGTCTGTATTATTCCTCCTTCAGTACCCTGCTACATTAAAGGCAAATTGTGCAAATACCATGTACATGCTCTGCCACTTTGAGAAGAAAAAAAAAGGCAAACCACAGATAATGTATCTGGATAACTTTAATGGTATTTATATTAACGGTCATATGTCAGCTATTTTCAAAACGAGTCACAAGTCTACCTGTCACACAATAAAACAAATCCGGAACAGGTACATCTCTAGCTGTTGTCCTTAGCCATACGAAACTTTTGCACAGGATAAATCAGAATAAAATTAATGAAAGAGTCAATCACATCATTGCTACGTTCCTGTATAATTGTTGTATCACCTTCTGTACACTAGGATTCTTGGGTCATTCCCATCGCCTGAAATATAAAAAAAAATCATCAGGACTCTGCAACTAATGGAGGTCAGAATATCGGACATACATCATGCTTGGTTATTCTTTAATATATTATCTTATTTCATAACATTTTACATTTAAACTGTAATACTTTAAATTTGCTCTTTCATAGTGAATGAAAATTATTCATTTAAAGAAAAAGCAAGGTCTCTCGTTGCACATCCTCGATATCCAGGGTTACGCCCACTTTCGCTCTCTGCACCCCTGGAATATGTCATAGCAAAATTGAAGGCACGAAGATAGCTGTTTGATTGGTCTCAGGTAAAAAAAAAACCTGACTAATCGCTAGGAGATAGCTGTCCTTTGAGGATTACAGAGGTGTGATACCCAAATTGAAAGCCTGTCGATTTTTACTGTTACGTGACAGAGAGATTCTTTTGATGTACATCAAAGGATAGAACTAGTCTTCTTGTCTCATCAACAAGGTGGCGCACACTGAGCCTTCAATTTTGCTATGACATATTCCAGGGGTATAGAGAGCGAAAGTGAGCATAACCCCTGGATATCGAGGATGGTCGTTGCACAATGTAAGAAAAGATATGAGTAGCACATAAAGATAGTTTGTATATAGCACATGTAGCATCAAACCCATGAAAGTGTAGCAGAAAAGTGTTCATAAGGAAGATATATGGACATCCTCCACCACCTACATCGTAACAGTCTTCCTCAACGTGATACACACTAGATCCTAATGTACTATGATTCTCCTGTTAGTAAGAACTGAAGACGATGCATCAGGGGTCAAGTTAGATGACCTTTTACTCAACCTAATCATTTTAGGCCCTCAAAAAATATTGAAGCTCAACGATTACAAAACATGAACCCTGAACCAACATCAACCGATTTGTTAAGAGCTGGCTTAGGTCAAGGTTAGGTAGTCCTACTTGTATGGTGCAAACTATGTGTGCATTTTTGTCAGATTACTCAAAAGATCATGTTGTCTCGTAAATGTTGATGTTTTTACAATTTGTTACTTTTCCCTGATATTGATAAATGCTTCCAAAATAATTACTGATTACTCATTTGAATGATAAACAAAACAAGAAAGAATCAATTTCAAGTCTTAAATATTACTGCTAATTAAAAAGTTTCTAAGGGAGCAAACAATTGTTTAACAAGAGTACCGCGGGGCGGAAAAATATACGCCCGTCGAATGCCATATAGTGTTATATACTTTCGTACATTGAAATAAGATCTGCATCATTCAAAGAGTGGTTAGCTGACATGCTATAACAAGAGGCCCAGAGGGCCTGTATCGCTCACCTGAATATGTTTAAAATAATTGGTATGAAGTAAAGATATAGCACTCCATGGTAGGTGCTGTAAGTACATATGAAATTTCAGAAAGATCCATCCAGCACTTGAGATAGAGCGAGAACAAACTTCAAACAAAGCCCAATCCCTCTGCCCCTAGGGGGGGTGGGGGGTGGGGGGTGG